GGCTGAGGAGGGCTGCTCTAAGGCGAGGGAGAGCTCACCCCAGCAGAAGAGAGGAGCCAGGAGAGTGAAGGCAGGTCACTCAGCAGGCGTGCATTAGTGAGGAACACAGCTTTCCCCTTCTCCTGATCAAGAGCAGGCGCTGGAGCCAGGGAAATTTGGGAACGGGATGTGTTTCCATCCTCTCCTTTCCTCCCCCTACTTATCTAAACTCACTTTTAATGGTTCAGTCAACTTTATTTTGAGTAATAGCTTTCTGCTGCAACTTAAAGACCCATACTTCAAGAAAACTGAGCCCAGAAGGGAAGTCAACAGTGATAAGAGGATTGATATTTTGATATTTTCCATATGTAGCAAGAATATATATTAAAATAAACCGCCACAGATTATTTCACAAAGAGTTCAGGAGGCCTTTTAAACAAACCCATCCTTCAAACACTGAAGAGAAACACTCTGCAAGAAACCAACTCAACAGTAACTTAATAGAGATTATTGTGCAGAGGGGGCAAAAAATCCATACTAAAACCACACAATACTGTAGTATTTGCTTCAATTACTGCCAATAATATTTTAACCAATGTTATAAACTCTGAAGTCTATGATATGAAAACTCCTTGTTGCTCCTGAACCAATCCCCCTGACCTGAGCAATTCCTAACACTGTAAGCATTCCAGGGTACTCTGTTTCTGTCCTTTTCTTACACTTTTACAGTGGAGATGGTTCAGGTTTTACTTGTCATAGGTCATGTCTTGTATTTCATCCATGAAATGACTGCCACACACAGGCACTCCCCAAACCATATTTAAGATATTCTGTTCTCATTTGAAACCCCCAAAAATATTTGTTCATCTTACACCAAATGTCAAACAAATCCTTGCTATAATCAAGACTAAAAAATTGTCAAACTACAAGTAGCAGCCACTAGGAAAAAAAATATTACCTGCTTAGAGAAACAAATACAGAGAACCCAAAAAGCCATCTAAAAGTGGGAGTATAGAAGGGTATGTCATGGAATGACACCCAAGGAAATTTAAAGAGACCAAATTAGATGCTTCAAGGAATAAAATGAGCACAGTCTTCTAATTAGACTGGCTCACTATGATACTGAACAGGAGCAGAGCCTGAATCCTGAACTCACACAACTGTGTCGTGTCCAATGTCTAAAATTGCTCATTTGGCACATGCTCGGGTTTCACTGGACAAAATGGTATAAATGTATAAAGATACTTCAGAAAAAAACATCTGATTCTCAACTTTTAACCAGCATTTGACAGATCTAGAAAATACCTTCTTCTTGTGTTCTTCTCACACTATACATATTTGTAAACATCCCATATTTGTAAACATCCTTCAGGAAGCTTTTGTTTTCAAAGACATATTTGGAAATTACATAAAGTACTACAGAGATGAATGCATTTGGAAAAAAAATGAAACAAAGAGAGCCCACTTGACATGGGCCATCCTCTAAGTACATGTCTGACTGCACACTAATAAGATAGTTTACTGCAAAGTTTGTTCAAACTAGAAAGAAAGGATATAAATCAGTTTTACATATAAGGGTTTGAAGCTTTTTTTAAAATACCCTGAGTGTTGCTTTCTAACAAAAGATCAGAATATTGAATGAACCTGTTACAGCTACAGTGGTCTGTGCTGTTGGAAATTTTTCTAATTATAGCTAGTTCTGGAGCAAATTCTGACTAAGTTTTCCAACAGAAAAACAAGGTGCATAGACATGACAGGATTAAATGGAGATGTGGAGTAAAGGGAACAGTAGAGCAATCTCATGAAGACAGACAGGTATATGAATGAAGTGGTAATGGTTTTAAGCAGGCTATTTCCCCTCTTTGACCTTCCAAAAGGGAAAGAAAACAGCCACAACCACAGTAAATCCTGTGGAAACTGAGGCAACCAGGACTTAATATTATTCAAGTAACTGGACAAGTCTGCGAATCAGATAAGGGATGGAACTATGTCCTTTCACTTACACCCCCTTTAGGCACAATGAGGGGGGAAACAATCTGTCTGAATCCCATTTTACTGCTTCCTATCTTCCTTAAATTTCTTAATTTTACCCCTTTGAACAGCAGAAACCACACCTCAAAATTGCTACAACAACCCAAAAAACACAACAAACCTCAGGGCAGGCTTATTTGGGAGAGGTGGCTTTCCTTCACTTCTCTGTGAGCCTAGTAACCAATTGACCTACATACTGTAAAAGTGGCAGCATTGCTGTTTCACTCTCCTACTTCCAGCTGCTTCAATCCCCATCCTTTGCCCACTAAGGATGAAACAGAAGCCTGAACTTTACACTTCACTGTTTTTGTTGGCCTGAATGTACTTTTTTACAGTATTTAAAAATCTTTATATGTTTTTATAAAATCCCTTCAATGTATTTTTGAGGCTTAGAGTACTTGTGTGAAGTTACAGGATACTAAGTTGATGTAAAGATGTGATTCATTCCCTTTGTGCTCATGCTGCTTATGCAACACAGCACGAAACGATGTGTCTGGGAAAGACATTAAAGTGGAAATCAATCTGATTTTCTTTATAGGCAGAGTCCACCCCTACCAATCCTTTTTACTCACTTGTACCACCAGATTGTAAGCTACACAGTGGATAGTAACACCAGGGCTTTGGTATGAGCCTTGTCAAATGTTAATGCACGATCCCTCTAACACAAGTGTCCAGTGAGGAAAATGTAACAGGTATTTCTCAAAGAATTTTTTTCCCCCATTTTATTACACAAGCCCCATAAGATGACAGCCTCAGTTTTCAGAGCATCTCAGTAGAGACAAACTTAGAAAGGCTTATACATTGTCCATTTTTCAGCTGTAAAACTGCTGCATGGGCAAAATGCCTTGAATATATGCTGCAGCACAAATATTCCATCTTTTATTATTATGCATAAAATATTCCATCCAACTTATTTCCATCTATTCTGTCAGGGCAGGGGTTAATACTGATATGGGTTGGCTGGATTACTGACACTTTGTGAAACAGCAGGGAAGGTGGAAAGAAAAAACAAAATGGGTGCAACAGATACAGGGTGCATATCAAGGAGAAGAGAGAACTTAAGATGACCATAGGGCATATCTACCTCAGGCTGAACTTTTTTCTGGAGAGAAGAATCAAAACAGGAACTTCCAGCCATTTAAAAGAATGAAGCTAAGGTTCTGTTGTAAAAAAATAGCATTTGAACATTTTCTAAAGAAACTTAAGTAGCATGGGCACAGGATCTGAAACTTGACAAGGGCTTCCTTGGAGCCAGAGAAGTCTGTTTGGCTGCTCAGATTTAAACCCACCCACATTTGGATAGCCAGGAAGGCCCCGAGAAATCATTTGTATAACCTCCTTGGCAATATGTGCATCCAAATGTTCTGCCAGCACAGTGGTACCCCAGCACCTCCAGTGCTGCCAGGGGTCCAAGCTCCCCTGACAGCTCACATCCAGCTCACAATGCTGGGATGTTACCTTGCAGACAACTGCAATAACAGTCTCCAAGGCATGGAAAAAGAGTCTCTAACTCTGGCAGACAGAGCATTGAAACTTGGACCACACTGTCCTCTGTTAGGTTATCTAAGGGCTAAGCAAATTAGCCCCAAAGCCCCAGCAAGGATGAGAGGAACAATGATAGGTGGAGGAACCCTCTGTAATGTAATCACTGGAAAAACCTAAACAATGAAAATTAGAGCACCCTGAGCCTGCTTCCTATGACAATCCAAGGGGAGGATGAGACCATTGTCCTTGGTGTGAAATGCACCAAGATGGGTCAATAGGGAACCTCTCTGATCAAAAATCTTTGCAAATGAAAGGAAGTGATTGTGCACAGCAGCATAAGACTCTATGGGATGTATGAAAAAGCAGATTTTGGGACTGTGTGAACCTTATTATGGGATTTGCAAAGAGGATAGTGGGAATGTCTAAAGATTGTTTAGTGGAAGGAGCAAAGATGGGAAAAGGGAGCAATCAAGGTGGATTGAAAAGGTGTAAGTGTGGAAAGAACATGAGAGAATAGAGGAAGAAGGGGTCAGTTGAGTGTAAAGGTGTCTGGCCAGTAGTCTGACTAACTGAGCTAGGTGCTTGAGGACCTCTCTATTAATATTAAATCTGGTTTCTGGCTGCCTTTTGTGTGGGTGTGCTCTCTGCTCTGCACTATGAGGACAGAGAGTGCGAGGAAAGGGCTGTGCCCAGCAGCTGCAGTCCTCAGGGGCTTGTGGACTCTGGTGCCATCAGCTGGAGCAGGACAGAAGCCCTGGGGGCTGCTCCTGCATAGACTGAGGGTCTGGGGCCAGCAGCAGCTGCACTGACCCGTGTATTGTGCGCACCATATTGCACTGGCAGACTCCAACCTGATCCTTGGAGAGAAGGAACAGGACTGGGTCACCTGGGCTCTTTGTGTGCACCTGAGAGCTGGCTGTGCAGTAAGGGCAGGTAAGGGCAGTGCCTCCTCTCTGTGCTGACCTGGCTGGGCTGGGCAGATGTGTGGGACGAGCATGGATGTGCTCCCTGTCACATCCTTCTCAGACAGACAGCGAATGCTTCAGGAAGCCACAACCTGGTGCAATACCTGTGACTGTGGGACAGCAACTACATCTCCTGTTATCCGACCAACAGGACAAATACTGTCACTGTGACATCTTTGGAGAAGTCTCCCAAATTAATCACTGAGTGTTCCATCTGCATACATACCTTTATGTTAAGCATACCTTTATGTTAAACCTTTATGTTAAACATACATACCTTTATGTTAAAATATGATACATGAAAGTTTCAGATCAGTGTCATTCAATGCACTAAGTAACAATCATAACCAGTGAGTATCCTGCTCCTTGATTAGACAAGCCACAGATTGCTTGTCCTCTCCAGTTTTAAACCAAGTCAAGTTCCTTTCCAACTATTTTGGATAATTTTGTTTCAATGTTCTCAATGTCCTTCTTGTTTAAATTCAACTCTGATGCAGAATGCATTCGTTAAAAAAAAAAAAGAAAGAAAAGAAATCTTACCTCCAAGCTGTAGAGATATTTGAAACTGTTTTTTTGATTGGCTGCCTTTTCCACAGCTTGAGCTAATTTTACTGCTCCTTTACCACCAGCTGACCAGTGATGGCAGGGTACAGCATCAAATGCTCCAGACTCCTTTGCAATCTTACACACCAGATCAATCTCAGCTGGAGAGTCAGTTCTGCCAACCAAACAGTCCTGTCTCATTAGTTTGTTTAATTAGTTCTCTGTTACAACCTTACAAACTTAGCCTTATTTTACCATCAGCAGTGGTAAAGTAGAAATATATATAGAAATTGTGCCATATACATAACGCATTTATGTACAGCATATGTATTTACATGTTTCAAGAACATTTTGTAATTGTTACAGCTAATTAACATGGAAGATTATCAGCTCTGTACTTCTTTTTGTTGGTTTTAGAACATTAGGAACAAGCTAAAAACGTAAATATCTTTATATTCATGATGAAAAAATGAAATTCTTTAATAGCTTCTTTGTTCATGCCAAATTTAATAATTTAAAAACCAAGAAAAGTGAGGAATTTGAACAAGAGTAATGAAAGAACAGACTTACTTGAAGACATTTAGAGCAACCACAACAGGAACTCCAAAGAGCTGAGTAATTTGAATCTGTTTCTGTAGATTACAGCAGCCATCAGCTACCAGCTGGAGGTTCTGTGCAATTAAATGAAAATTAATGGAAATGGTAAGATACATAAAGGCTTCTCCAGCCAAAGAATTTTCCATAAACTCAAGTGAACATAAACAGTGCTGATCATGACAGTTGCAGGCAAGTGGAATTCTTCCAGACAAAAGTATTCTGGCACTTATTAATTCTCATTCCAATTGATAAGCATCAGACATATTTAAGTAACTAAGCAGCGTCCAAAATTTGTACATGAACCCATTGCTCTCTTCTGAGACACAGGAAGATGGTGCAGCTGATGAGTGGCTGCTTGTCATTATTGTGAATGATTTTGCTGTTTGCAAAGTTTACAAACAGGCTGCAGTGGTGGGGTTGGGTTTGACACACATATGTGTCAGGTTTAGAGTTCATGTATGCACACACATAGACTACCCCAAGCACATTGCTGGATTTCCTTATTTACTCTTTTACCTCACACTTTATAGGCCTTGTCTCAGTTGTAACAAAACACATATCCTTAGCTTCACACAAGCAGAAGACCAGAACTTGTCTGGAGTGAAGTGACAAAGGAAACAAACTAGCAGAATTCACTCTTTGTTTGAAGAGTGACATCCCACCCCAAATGTGAAGCATAAACATATAAAGCTTGTTTTATAATGAACAGGTTATGGTATCATTAATTTCAGGGAGTGTCCTTGACCCCTACACCATGCTGCTCTTGTGCTTCTATAAATGCCTGCACATTGATCAATCTGAAAACCTAGTGGCCCTGGAAAAACTATTGACAAAAGATTATTTTTCAGTTAGTTATTACAATCCATCACACAGTCACACACACCATGCACCTAAGAGGGGTAACACAAAGGGGCTGAGGGAGGATGAGGTGGTTTCAGTTGTTGGCAATGCCCATTAGAGATGTTCACTGAATGTCAGCTTTAGAGCACGCTATTGTCAAACCTGAGGCTGCACACTGTCCAGCCAGAGCAAGGAGAAGTTCTGATTCTCTGTACACCATATTATTTTGTTCCTTTAAACAAAACCCTCTTTAAAGTTTTATAACAGTTCCTCTTACCTCTTCTGTGTATTCTTTCTTCAAGGGGGCACCAGCAGTTACCTGGGATCAGGTAATAATAAACAAGCAAAGTCATCACAGATTGATACTTGTAATAACCCTAAAGGGTCTGAAGTGCAATTTTGCTGCCTTTCTGTACTGCCAGTTAACCCAAACCAGGGCTCACAGCATCACAGCCTGACTGCAGCTTGTGTTTTACTCCCAGTTGCACACAAACAATAGCAACACCTCCTATTGTACTTGGGTAGCAGGACACAGGTAGTGCCTCAGCAATTAGCTGCAAAAGACTACAAGGGGAGGCAGCTGGATCTCATTCTGCATGTTGTTACAGCACACCAGCAGTGCAAAGACAATAGGCAGCAATTTCCAGCAGCTGAAGAAATAACAGCAACACAGAAGAACATAATCTTTGATGTTCTTTAATTACTGCCCATGGCAAGGAACCGCATGCAAGTAATTGGTTGGAAAGCACAAAGGTAGACATGCAAAGTGCATCACAGGGGTACTGGGACACTGTGCTGAGTCTCCAAAGAGCACATAACGTCAGTCCCAGGCACCAGACTTACTTTTGTCTCTAGCATTAGTCCTTTTTATAGTTAACCTCCCAGTAAAAGTATCTGGTACTCTACATGCCTCAGTGATGAATGCATCACATTTGTAAACAAATGAAACCTTTAAACTTCTAAGGACACAAGGGAGACAGAAATAGAGACAGTTATTAAGACATATTTAAGTCCTATTTTTGCTAGATTGAGTGATAACACATGTGAAAATATACTTGCTTTGATAGAGATGGAGAAATATAATTCAAATAAAGAAAACATGCATCAGAAGTGTACTAAAATGATAGAAAATTACATCATTACATCAACTTGAAAGACTGAAAAGGGTAGCTCAGCTTTAACTTTTAGAGAAGACCAGCTGTAAGGGAAACCATGCCTTCTAAAATTTTGTGGCTGTGGAAACAGCTCTGGTATTTTCCCCCAGTGTGACTGTTTCCCTGGCAGCATCACTCTCCAGCGTGCTGCTGGGCAGATGAAAGTGCTCCTAGGAGTTAAGTGTCTCTCTGCTTGGCTAGCACAGTCTGATCTGACTGCACATTCGGGGAGCATTTCTGCAAACAGTAATCTTTAAAATCTCTTTGTGGCTTAGACAGCAAAAAATTATAGGCTGGTGACTCTTGGTACACCCAGAAAACACTTGCAAAATTTCATCAGTTACCTCAGCATCCCCAAGGGAATTAATCTGAGCAACATAAAAGGACATAAGGAGTACCCATTACTGGAGTGAAAGAAATGTCAAAACCTTGACTAACAATGTTCTCTGCTTCCACTCACATACTGCAACTCGAACTTGTCTCATTCCTCCTTGGCTGTCAAATTTCCCAGCCTGTGACGACTTCAGTGCACTTACAAATGCTGTTTCAAAAGGCAGGGAAAAGAATATCTATCTCTTACTGCTTTTTTTTAATGCAATAACTTTGCCTTCCTCTGCAAGATATAGTACTTCTTCAGAGCTCTTTTGTCCCTCATCTTTCATTTGTGGCTTAATTTTAGAGACAGCATTAACTTTAGTGATAACATGTATACAATGAAGAATATCAGAAGGGTTATCTAAATACTGCCCATATACTACCCCAAATATTTCTTACATCAAGGTATTTTACTTATTTCAAATATTAGCAACAATTTGATTTTTCCAAGAAAGGTGCAAAAACTTACATTTGGCCCACCTCCATGCATCTTCAAAGCCCTCACTGTAGCAACAAGTACAACCACACTGGGAACCAAGCCAGACGCTCTGCATTTGATGTTGAAGAATTTCTCCATCCCAATGTCAGCACCAAAGCCAGCTTCAGTTACTGTTAAACATTAAAAAAACAAAACAAAACCACACATTAAACATGCTTTTGGTTAAACACTGGGGGATATTTCTACTTCAGCATACAGTGCACTTAAATACACACCAGTACTCAGTTTTGAATGAACTTTTAAATAGAGGTCTATTTACATTACTGAGTCTGATTAAAAACCAATTCTCAACTCAGAAATAAATTCTCTTATTCTTATATGTACAATATGCCATCAAAGGTAGTTCCATGGAGGGGAAAACCAAGCAATCTAAATTAGTTTGAATCAAAGTACTTAAAAAATACATAGTCCTCTAAAATCATTGCTTTGGTGCAATTATGTGTAAAATGATAGCAAATTCTCAGATATAAGACTTTCCTATATTATTCCTCCTCCTCTGATTTCACTAAAGGTGTGCTTTCATCACCATTAATGGACCTGAATTCTCCTAGGTTTGCAGAACTTCTTTTGTGGAGAGGATGTTTAGTTATAAACACAAACCAGCAGTTACAGCCACATGCCAGTGTTGAATATGTTGTTAATAATGAGATTTTGCACCAAAGAAGTCAGACATGAATGTAACGTGACTCAAGAGAAAAATCTGTGCAGAATTAGGATACACCTGTAAAAGTATGTTTAGTGGACCTACAAATAAAGAGAAGATAATCTGTATTAAAGGATACCAGTCTCTTCAGAGTGAATTTCTTCTGAATTGTCAAATAGAAATTATTTTGATTGCTTCTTTTAAAATCCAAGTAATTTCTTTATATTAGACAAAGACAAGCACAGAGCAAATTAAAAAAAAATTAGGGATTAGATTTCCTGTTGGCTGAAAATTTACTGATGCAATGATTTCCCACCAGAACACAATTAAGAGCTGGGCTCAGTGCACACTTCTTAAAGATGTGAAGGGACTTTCAGGCAGACAAGTCAGGGCAGGAAAACAGCTTGCTCCAGAGGCTTCTGGACCTGACTCCATGCAGGGCTGGTAATATGTTCTCATAGCCCAAATCAACTTGCAAAAACTCGTAAATTCCCTTCTCTTTCCCTCTTGACAGCAGTTTTGTCTCTCATACTGAGGAGGGGAAGGGACCACAAATGGTGACTGAACATTTCAAAACTGGCAACCTTCAGCAGGGTCAAGGAGGAGGACATACAGATCTGCACTGTTGCTGTGGCAGAAAGCATCTCACTGTTGGCAGCTGATGCACTTTAGGAAGTCCCAGCATTTGTCCTAACCCCCCTGGTCCCGTTCCACCTCTTCTTCAGTTTGCACAGGCTGAAACAATTGCCTGGATCTGCTCTAGGGAGGAAATGGCTGCTGGGGCTGGGAGAGGAAGCAAGTAGTAGCAAACAAGGGGGAGGGCCTGCTGGGGGGAGCAGGGACCTCTTGAAATAGTAACATGGCAAGTGTCATGATTAACGTTCTCCTCAATCACTGTAATAACTATATCATCTTCTTCTAAATAGCCCTGAGAAAAACAGACACACCAAACATGGGGGAAAAAAAAAAAAAAAGATGTTTACACAAATGCAGTAATTCATAGGAGCAAAGCTAATGCCAGGATAAGTCCCATTAAAAGCAGAGCCAGGGATCACATTTCTGCTTTCCAGTAACCCTCATTCTTCTTCTCCAGTCTCTTATGTGGCATAGGGTGATTAATGGGAACCCTGAATTAGGAATATATAACCATGATCAATCTTTAATATAAACAACAGATAAACTACCAAGTGCTTGAGAGGGTGGGAAAATAATTTGTCTCTTACAGAGATTGCCAGCACATATACATAGCAGTCTCCTAACATTTCCAAACAAAGTTTCCAGGGAGTTAATCCATTTCATGCCAAGCCTTTTCAAGGGTCAGCTTCCCTCTGAGAAAGGGGGGACTGCAAGTCTGCCTTTCAGTGGGAGAAAAGCAGAGATGTCAGCCTTCCACAGCAACTGCTTGCATAGCAAGCCACCCTTCGGGCAGTCCAGGCAGCCAGGGCCGTACACTTTCCATATTCTTTGCAATCTTCCCTTTGATACAGAGGATAAAATTCACTTTTGCCTAAAGAACCCAAATACTGTGTCAGAGTTCACCAGAATGAGTGCTACAACATGGAGACCGGGATTTTTTCATTGGAAGTGGAGGAAGGGAGACAGACGTCAGAGCTTTCTCCAGAGTGCGGAAGGAAACAGGATGTAGTAGAAAAGCTGCCTGGATGAAAGTTGCAACTCCATTTTATTTCCTCCAAGGAATATTAAGAAGACAGAATAACATGCCAAGCTATTATATTTTAAAATCTTTGTGCTGAAACACTTAATAGAATTACTTTCGGATTGTTTCCTGCTTTCAAATGAAAGCGTCAATGAAAAACACAGACTACAAATGGGAAGTTTCAAACTACTCTACACTTAATGATCATGAGATAAACCAGCTAATCACTTTAAATGTAACAACAGAAATTGAAAGTAGTATGTGGTGAGCTAATCACTTTACATGTAACAACAGAAAATTAAAGTACTACGCAGGTCCATTTATTTTGACAATAATTTCTCATTCATAGTTTGTCATAGAAGAGAATTACAGGTGAAACGTAAATTTTGGGCAACAAACATCTACTTCAGTAGCTGTGGCCTGCTGTACTTCAGCTGCAGAAAAGTTTATGACACTAGCACTGTTACTGCCTATACATTTTTGCCCAGTTTCAGTTTCCCCCTTCCCAGATGCCTGTTTATCCCATGCCCTGCCAAGCGACCATTTCCCAGCTCCATGAATTACAGCTACCCAGGCTGCTGACCTGAAACCAGGTAGGGGGCTTGCAATAGGTACCAGCATGGTGTTAATTGCTTGCTTTGATTTCCAGGCCACAAACACAGTTCCAATGCAGTTTTAATGAAAGTAAAGAGGTAAATGATTTGCCTTCAGCAAGCTCACAGAAAACACACAGGAATTTGCACTTCCAGGCTGAGAACACAACTCCGTGGCAAACATATACTAGATCAGTGTTATTACAGTCCCAGGCCTTGTTTTGCCTTCTGAATCCCCTCTTTGCACTGACCAGACTCAATGATGAGCTGGACAAATGCTAAAAGATCATCTTCTGGGTGCAACTTTCAGTTAGTACAGTTCTCTGGAATCTCACTGCGTCATCATATAAAGTGCAAAACCTAAAGTGCAAACCTGTTTGATTTTGTGCTTGAGTTTTAGAGCCTAAGCATCATAAAGAACATTGGAATGAGAATTAAAAATTAAAATATCATGTATCAGCAGTGCTGTTAGGAACACAGAAACTGTGTTTGTGGCCTGGAAATCAAAGCAAATCAAAGTATCTGCACCACCATTGCATTACTGTTAAGAGTAGGCTATAGGTCAAACCTAGCAATTAATTTACATATATATCAGAATAAACTGCATCAAAATGGTCAAATAAGGTAAAATAATTTTTTCTCATAAAATATCCACGAGTGTGACCAAAAGCAGCTCATTCTTACACATCTGGGTAACTGCAGATCTTAGGTCAAAAAGCCAGCAGGCAAAACACAACACACAATTGCTACAGGTCTTTCGAGAGATCATTTATGTGACATCTACTTCACCCACTCTTGCTACCAAAATCATCAGTAAACCATAGTTTTCTTTCAGAGCAATAACCCAAAAGAGCAAAATTAGTTAAGTGGAAAATGGGGAAGGAGAAGCCCATAGGGGTGAAATTGGGCAATAGAGAGAAGTCTGTTGGGTGGTGCAAAGTCGGAACAAACTCTCCTCACTGGAGTCTTTAATTCCATTTCAGGGTTCAGGCAAATGAACAAATCACTCTCACGGTTTTGTTTCTTGTTTATAATTATCACAACCTCCTTTATGTAATTACTGCCTTATCAAGGACATCTGGGAATCACCTACATGTGACATTAGCTTAAATAGACAGTGTCATGTGTTAAGCAGCTAATCAGACTTCACCATCATTCTTAATACAAAATCTAATTTTTCTCCATCTAAAAATACATCTATCTTCATAAAGCTGCATAAAGTGGTTCCACATTACTCTTACATTGATATAGTGCTTAAAAGCCTTACAGAAAGTGATGTTTGGAATATTTTTCAAAAAGCTATTTCACCCACAATTGAACTTGATGCTTATTGAGGGTAATTTCTAGTGAAAGTATCTTTTCCCTAGTCAGCCCTTTGTATCAACAAATCATGTCAAAATAAAGCATTTGTACCATAAAGGGCCAAGTCAGATGCACACACATGAGGCAAAGTTGAGGACGAGTTGTGAGCCTGGATTCCTGAACAATGTAAAAGGAAATGGAAACTCTGAGCTGCAAGTTGCCATTTACTCCCCACATGTAAACATATCTGTTCTAGTGCAGCTGTCTGCTGGTAAACTCAGGAAAGGAAGAGCTCAAAGTCACAGAAGCACATGAACTGTGAACCTGGAGCAGGAGATATGCTAGCTATAAAGTAACTGATATAAAGGTTCTTTTTTAAGTGAAAAATATCAAGGTGTGCTATCGCCAAAATAAACCAGGATGATCAGTGATTTCTCTAACAGGATATCATATTTTTGTTAGTATAGCTAGGGATGAATAACCAGATGTTTGCCCATTCTGACTCTAGCAATTATTTGATGTGAACTTCCATTATTATGACTGATTTTGGAATGTAACAAATACTTTCTTCTCCCCCTCCCCACCCCCCAACAGAGGGAGTTTTCCTGTTCATTTTTCTTTCCACGCATTCTCAGATGTCATGGAACACAGGAACTCTCTGCTACCACTGCTGAAGACAAAGTCCAGCACAAAACTACACATGAATATGTCAAGCCTGAACATTTTCCATGCCATGAAGAAAATATTTTGCACTGCTTGTTAAAATTTTATGTTGTTGTTGTGAAGTCTAGAAGAAAAGGTAATAGGAAAAATATTTACCCCTAAGTTTAACAGGCCATAAGCTAATTGGATGTAATCTGTACTTTCCATCTTTTGCTAAAGAAAGATGCCAGGGCAGTATTTGCCCTGCTGACA